AATACTTACCACATTTTGAATCGAGTTTCAACAGAGGATTTAAGGCTTTCTTGAAGAGTTGTAAAGCAACTGGCGAATAAAACGTCAATGAAGAAGAAAAAGATATTAATTGATCATTAAACAAATCCTGGGCGTGGGTGTGGGGTGTGGAGGTGGGGTCTGGATGTGGGTGTGGGTGTAATTAGAAACACACTCCCACACCCACACCCACACCCTCGCTGAGAATTCTTTACCCACACTAACATTTACTTCCGCTCTCTCACTCAGATCTTCTCATTCACTCTCACCATCATCCTTAACTCCACTCGTGTTTGTATTATTGGTTTTCTTTGTTAGTTCTGAAGTTCTCAAAATGATATGCCAATTTTGCCTACAACATATATGTTTCTTTTTCTTTCGCCTGTTTTATGTCTATATCATTGAAAAAAAATGTGAAGAAAATATTTTCGAGAATGTGTCGTCGAGATTGAAAAAAAAATATCACAGCTTTTTATTCTTTATTAATGCTCCTTTACAGATGATTTTCGTGGCTTTCTTGACTTTTTTTGACTTAAAATGATCTAAGATGACTTAATTGACTTACTTGACTTAACCTAACTTTACGGTGACTTAAGTCAGTCGTTTTCCCCTTGAAAAAACATCATATTAAAATAAAAATGTTCCCATGAATAATTATTGATTGATATAAATTATTTGTTCTATCAAAAACATTCCATAGCGATAATTTAGTTTGATTTGTTGTTAGTTGTGTGCTAAGATCAATTGATGGTTCTTCTTTTCGTCGAATATAACTTGTTTGACAACCTATTTCTTCAACGTCTGTGGATTAATTGTCCAAAGAATTATCGTTTAATAGATTGATTTCATCTAAAAATAATTTTTCTCTTATTCTTGTCTAATTATCATTTTATTAAAGGAAATTTTTAGAAGAATTAGAAAAACAAAAAAAAAGAAATAAAACTCTGCATTGGCTTAATATTAATTGACGATGAATGCACTTATTTTATCAATTTAGTTAATAAAGAACAAAAACTAAACAACTGTATCGAATAGATTCATTCGAATATTCAACGATAATAACATTGAACGATTAAAAAAAGAAAAGAATTAAATAAAAAAAAGAAGCTCGTGCTTTTTTTTTGTTTTTGAAAATGAGATTGTTACAAATAATATTAACAACAGTTAAAAGAAATGATTATATTTACAATTATTTTAATATCTTAAATAAAAAAATTTTTAACCTGCTACTCGAATTCTTCCTGGTCAATTCTAATAGACAATATGGCATCGTTTAATAAAATATTTAAATCATTAGGAAAATAAATAAATAAATCAATCAATCAATATTTACAATTTATATATTAATCGTTCGATATGATCAACCTTTTTATTTCTTCGATTTCAACATAACACTTGAAAATTATTTCATTAATAAAAAGAGAAAAAAACCAATTAAAGCATACTTATTATGCTTTTCTGCAACTCTTTCTTGTCGATCACATTCTCAAATTAAATCAAAATCATACCATTCACCCTTAGCAAACCACAAATATAAATATAAATATTCGTTTTTATTTTAGTTTTTTATAATCTGCACTTGTTACATTATGATCAATAATAGTTCTTGATTGACGATTTTCTATATTAGAATCTTCTTCTTGAAAAAATTGAGCATTATCACGTTCTTTTTGCAATGACTAGAGCTAGTTTTCCTTCATAACCAGTCTTTATTTTTTTGAAATGCTCCGATTATTTGTCATAATTCATGTTGAGCAAAAATTGATTATTGACCATTCCTAACACCATCTAGATAAAGAACAACTAATTAAATCAATGTAATTACACAGAGAGATTTTTTTTATTGATTTAATTCATATTTAAAAAGTAATTTGTTTTCTGGTAAAGTGTTATTACATTGATAAATATTATTTTAATGGTGCATATAAATAATTATAAAATAATTAATGAACGTTTATTAATTGAAATTTTTCATCATTAATACACTTTCATATAAACAGCTAAACCATCTAGAACGTTCTTCTGCTCTATGTTGGTAAATAAGACGTCAATAGAATTTTGTTAATATTGGATTTTTTTTGCAACAAATCCACCTTGAGATCTACCGCGACGTTTTCAATCTAGATAAGAAAAAAATACCTTTCAATAGGATGTTGCTTATATCTTATTATGAAACATAAGAAAGTTATTTTAATTGAAAAATCTATCTATAAAAAAATGGCGAAAGATATTATATGATATAGTAGAAATATGAAAAGTAATTTTTTTTCGTAGTTTGACTGATAAAAAGCATTCTAACTGTTACTCAACGTTGTAGATCTCTCTAAGATAGGTATATTAGGGGATGATTGAGAGAATTTCTCAATAACCATTATATGAATCAATTCAAATAATCATTGAAATTTTTCTTGGAATTTGTACACATTATACATGACCAGCTTATTTACCATTTATTTCTATAGGAATTTTTCTTGCAATAGACATTACTTGATAACGTCGTGCTAATGTTATTTTTCTAACGAATCATCGAAAATAAAATGATAAATTATTTAATTAAAAAGAAAAAAAAATTTACTTGTAATGGTAGACGATTACCAAGACATAGAAATTTCTGAAATGTATCATAACGATATTCTCGATTATTCGATAATAGACGTAAGATAACGGTCTATATTACGAGATATAAAATATTTTTTGATGATTGAAGATAACGATTCAGATCGATCATTTATTAATTATTCTCGAAAAGAAAAATCCTTTCAATCTTGTTGTTTTATTCAATATTAAAATAACTTCCATATAACCCTATCCAACATGCATTCATATTCAATAACAAAAAGACAATTTCTTTTTATCAAAAAATCTTTAAAAAAAATTCTATCGTTTCTATCAGAGATAACTTTTAAAAATAGATTTCAAAAAAACCTCAGTCAGAATTGAATCTAGATTTTTTTTGTTTGAGAGATATCATAATATGAGAGGAATTTTATGCATAAATTTGTTTAAGAAAATTCTCCTAAAACTTTCTAATTAATAAATGAAAATATTTTTCAACGGTATAGAGTTAATATGCCAACACAACTAAACAAATCATTGATTAGAATTTTATTTTAATTTAATTCAACTCTTTTATTTATCATTTAGACAATTATTATTTCTCTCATTTAATTATCTTCATCATTTAACAAAAACAAAAAACAATAGAGATATATCAGTTTTTTTTTCACTATCATTCCCATCCTAAAGTTAGGCGTTTTCATATTGTTTGCCCATATCTAATTTGCTTATAGATGCTTGAAGAGAATACTCGCAATTATAGTATAAACATATAGATTAAGAATTTCTATTAAGATGAAATCATTATTTGATATTGTTCTTCTCGTTTAGTCTATGGTTACATATCAATGAATCATCATATCAATTTCGAATATAGGACTATCTCATTTTATGACGAGTCACTAGATAAAAATACGATAGAAATACTTTTAAAAAATTCTCTTCCAAATTGCTTTTTTATTTTTTATTTTTTCAAAAAAAAATCAGTTTGATGCAGCTGAGGACACTACATAACAGTGTTGGCTCAGCATAAAAGACATAAGAATTATGTTATGTTAAATGTCGCAATAATGAGATTAATGGTTATTGTCTAGAACTCGGAAGTTTTAGTTCTTAACGAAAAAAGTCCAGAAAATGGGAGTGAGTAAAAATCTTCTTGTGTGAAAAAAACATTATCAGCAAATTGTTGTTCTTTTCGTTTTTCATTATGTTTTCTCCATACATCATAAAATTATGGTCTATTTCTAAGAATACAATGGCTAATCTTTTCTTCTGTAACGGATTTGTTGCTGTGAGTATAATGCATATCAAAATATTAAAGTATTTTTGTAATAAATAAATCATTGTTTTTATCAGATTTATGATCATAAAACTCGTAGCAGGTATTTAGATTAAGATTATTCATGTTTCAAGGGAATTTCGATTCACGAAGTAAGGTTTAATGAATTTGCTTTTTTTTTCAGTGGGTGTGGATGTGTGTACATCAACTATTCGCTCATTCCCACACCCATCATGAAACTTCAGCATACCGACTCAGAGGAGAAAAAGTCTCCAAAAGTCTTCGGTCGAATAAAAGATTTCTTCTTTGGCAAAGATAATCCAGTGTTAGCACTATGCCGTGATAATGTTAACTGTTCTCCACAATATTCACCACGGCATCAGCAAAAACTATACAATTTTAATATTATGTTTTTGTTTATAATAACACGCGGCTTCATTTATTGTAAAGTTCTCTTGAGCAGATTAAAAATCAAATCAATGTCGTAATGTTCATTGACTTAAAATTAGAAAATCTACATTAGCATAAACTGTACGCTTATTGTATATGAATAATGTAAATTTTAACGTGATATAAGCTCAATTGTAGAGACATCGGTTACCATTATTTTCAATAGGCAATATAAAAAAAAATATTTCGAATTATTTGAAGAATTTTAAATTATGCCAATATAAACAAACTGATTTTTGTTGTTATTAGCAATTAAAATCAAAACATGATTATGGGTTCGAAATCTTCTATCAGTTCTTCTGCAGTACAATCGTAACTTTGATATTCAATGGAACACTCAGAGGAAAATCTTCACTTTGCACGAATACATCCATAGAGAGACGAGTCTTATTTTTGAATTTGCATTTTCGTTTCACATACAATTGTATCATTAAAATAATAACCATAAATTGTAAACGAATTCTGGCTAGGTTCTTACTTAAAAAAAATACTTCATAGCATGATTCAAGAGTAGTATGAAGACTATATTTGTCGTTCTATTTGAAGTAAGAATGATAGAAAAAGAGTTTGTATGAGAGTTTATATACAGGTAAAACAAAATCATTTTTATTCTTATCATAAAGACTATTGAAGTAGTATATCTCGTTGCTAAAACTCACGAGTTAGACAAGAAACAACCAGTTTTATTGTTGCCAGTATGCAAGTAATTGGTAAAAAGATGTCATTACAAGGTCGTTGGGTTGCAAAGAACTCAAAGACTTTGCCTATGAGCCAACGATATGATCAACAGCAAGAGTTGAATCAATCATATGCAGATCTTTTCAAATTACCTGTTGAAATTCTGTATCGAATTTTTGATTATCTTACTGCACAAACAATAACATTATCGTTACGTTATGTCTGTCGAAGGTTACGAGCTATAGTTGAGAAATATTATCGATATTCTCTTGATTTTGAAGATATCGCCATGGTTACAATGTGGCAAATGTGTCGATCGATTCAACCCGAAACAGTTGTATCACTCAAATTATCGGATGGTGCAAGAACTCCCCAACAAATTGAATATTTCCTCTCACTAGTTGATATTAGCAAGTTCAACTGACTTCGTTCATTAACTATATTTCAAAGTGCTGATGATGTTTTCCAAATACTATTTGAGTTTATTCAGAGTTCTCAATCACTTCAATCATTTTCGATCCAATTCGAGAGTACTACTGAAAACCGTGCTTCGAATTGCAGCGAATTCGAATTTGATGGTCCAACACTTGAACCTCTTGCCTCTACGCTAGCTACATTGAGTTTGAAAAAGTTCGAAACCAATCTTCCAACCTATGAAATAGATTCAATTTTATGGCCCATTCATTTTGTACTTCAACATCTTTCTATTGCGAATTGTACTGTAAAGCAATACTATCTAATTTTAAAGAACTCTCCACATTTACGAACGTTTAAGTTGGATCATATTGTAATCGAGAGACAAGAGATCCCTGCTATGTACAGTGACGATGATGAAATTGTTGGTGACGGTGACGATGATGGAGCTAATACTTCACGCAAAGACAAGAGTGATGATATTAGTGTTGAACACAAGGATCTTGTTCTTGACATCTCTCATCCATTAGAGTCTCTGACACTATCCAAACAATATCAATCTATTACTGATCTCGAAGAAATTTTACGTTTCACACCTTCTTTAACCCATCTTAAAATAATTGGTTTTCGAAGTTTCGATAGCTTTTTATCGGAAAGCACTATGTTAGAAATACTGATTCATCGTTATCTACCGTTATTGAATCGTTTTGATATACTTATGCATGGTGACATCGAAACTGAAAATTTTTCTCCCGATTCTCTTATGGGTTCATTTCAAACACTGTTCTGGACCGAAGAGAAACAGTGGGTGTTCAACTGTAAATTAGATTCTCCCTATCGCTATGCATTATATTCAATGTCGATGCGAACCCAATCTCAGCCTCAATTATTTGAGATGGATTATTATTCACATGATGACTTTGACAAGTTAAATATCGGCAGAAAAGATATGAACGCATAATAAAATGTTTACATTTTGGATCAAGAGGAGCACAGTATTTGATTTCAAAACAGGTAGATATTTTAAATTACTGCGAGTTAATTAGAAAATATTGAATTTCGGTTAACTAGAGATGATTAAGTTAGGAAAAGAATGGATGAATAGAAGATAAGGTTTTCCATCACTCATACTTAACTGTTTTATAGATGATGTCGATAAACATTTATATAAAATCTATAATTTGATGAATATCAAAAACCTGTATAATACGCAGATCATTTGACTGAAAATTAAATCGTTTTATTAGATGTTTCATGTAGATAATGAAAAAATGATACCAAATTATCGCCATCAAATTTCTATTTTACGCGTACAATGAATAGATTCTTATTTGCTACTTGACGATAAGTGGATAGTAACAAAATTTGAGAATCTAAAGTCGGAAATCTATTCCCAAAAATATAATATGCTAAATTTTAAATGAAAATACTTTTTGTACAAACAAATTACATAGTGTTTGTTTCTTCATTAATCTCACATTGTAGCGAATAGAATGTACTTTTCTTCACAAAATATTTTTGATTTATTTACTTAGCATCATGAATATATTGAAATTAAGGTGAGACTACGTTCCAATGTAGCATGCTATTATATATTACCCATCCCATGATTCTATTCTTGTTTAGAAGAGCACTGGAGTAGAATGGCATTTTCCAAATGTGACCCGACTTGAATTAGAATTTGATAATTGTTGGCCGTTGGATGGAATAGAATATGTGGCAAAATTAGTCGACTTGTCACGAATTAAATCACTTCGTTTCTCTTACAATAATGCTCCTTCTTCAGTCTCGAATTCAATCATTCATATAAGAAAACTATTCCAACAAGCAGTTAATGTTTTGGACTTAGATGTAGATGGATACAGACGGCAGAAATGGGAACAACTTTGTTCTATAATACCTCATCATGTGAAACATTTAAGTTTCTCACCCACTGACGAAAACGATATGACGAATATTATCAATCATCCCAATCTGAAACATCTGTGGAGCCTTATATTTTCATGGTCAAGGGCAAAGAAACACGTAAATAGAGCATCTATTTGTGAAAAAGTTATTGAAGAACTCGAGAAATCAAAGCTAAAATGTAAATATCTAGATGATATTTTGGGATTACGAATCTGGTTCGCTAATCCTTATTACCATTCATGACAAAATCATTGGCTATTTCTTCTTCTCGAAACAAATAAAACTTGTCTTTAAAAAGGAAATCTTATGTTGGTTTCATTTGAGAATCTCTTTTAAGTTTTAATCATTGTTAGGATCATATGAACTGTTGTAATTTAAGGAGTAGAACTTATTGAATTTTGAATTGGAAATCAAATATCCATCAATTAGAATTTCACCTTATATGAAATATGGTTGGCAGTTTGCGGCAAAATATCGAATGAAAAATTTATCAAGAATGATTATGTTATTCTTCAGTAATGGATAGATGCAATTGATCTATCGAAAAAGAGGGTGTGGGTGTGAGTTTGAGTGAAGAAATATTCTTTACCTACTCAAACCCACATCCACCGACACCCTTAATATTTAAATTGACTTGTTAGCGTTGATTAACCTTCATGACTGGACTATTATGAATTATAAAATCAACTCCAAGATTATTTTCGATACAGTTATTTGCTCAATTTTTAAGACTATTCTCAAATATTTTGTCACTTGATTTTCTCATCGACACGACTTTATAAGTTTCTGTCACTCGTAATGGGTTCCATGAAACATGTTCAACAAACGTAAATCGTAGAGGTATATCTGTGTCCTTTCTAAAGAATATTTCTTTGTATGAATAGACTTCGCCAGATTGAAGGGTAGAAGTTTCTTCCGAATGCCAATGGCTTTTATTTTGAGAGGTGTTGGTTGCGTGTATCATGTTCGAACCATACTGTATAAAATTATTAATTTTAAAAGCCGTAGCATTATAGTACTAATGTTTGCAAGAATGTGACTGTGGTTAGTTTTCGATTCTCCTCACAGCCATAACTGCATCCTCGTACCATTCACATCTACACCCACCCTTATTGGAAAACTTATCGTACTATAGTACATCTTACAAAAAATGGGTGTGGATGTGGGTGTGTGTGGGTGTGGGTGTGGGTGTGGGTGTGGGTGTGGGTGTGGGTGTGGGTGTGGGTGTGGGTGTGGGTGTGGGTGTGGGTGTGGGTGGGGGTGGGGGGGTGCG